CAAATACTAATGCATGAAAATCCTAACCTCAAAAAAATCACCCGTTACCAGCACATTTTGCTGAATTTCTACTTTTTGATTGATGCCCTCTGTGGCATCTACATATGTATGCATTTATTACTGTATACATACATACGTATTTATGCGTGGCAGCGCTTGGCAACCAATTACTGCCAACAAATTTACATTGCATAATTTTAGGGATTTGTGCTAGCTACGCATTTTGGTTGGTTAGCCGGTGCTGTTGATAAGTGGTTAACTGTAAAGCGAGAAATTGAAGTACATACTTATTAACTATCGGTAGAGGTGTGCTCATAAGAGAGATTAGAATTTGGGTGTAGCCTTTGTGGCTTAAGTGTGGAATTATTTGAAAGGCCTTAAGAGATAAAAATTGTAACTGCGTGAAAATTATGGACCACTGATAATTTATGCGCCTTTAGTCAGGTCAAGAAAACTTTCTAGAGGTGTATGCTATAAGTACTGTACGTCACACAGTGTTTCGACTAAATATATGGAGGCAGGTAAAAAAAGTCAGGGTACAGCTGTCAAAAAGAACCTTTTGGGTTTAGAGAGGGAAAATTAAAAATCTTAAATACAAAATTTCACATCATTTACAAGAGTTGATGTAAAGCATGGCTGACGAGCTGCCAAGACCGAACATTCTTGAACACTTTTCGCCGGGTGAGATGATACAGGGATTTCTATTCTTACCTGTGAGGTCCTTCTGGCCGCGGCTGAATGAGATGGGAGTTCTACTTGTTCAGTGTCCTCGTGTAGACCATATTGCCAGGAGTTCTGCCTTAATCCAAAATTTTATGGAAGCAGCTGCTTGGAGAATGACAAAGTGGAAACGGCTCAAGGTCTCCTCCGCAGCTACACAGCTTTCGAGATTTGTTTTCAACAGATATAAGCTGCTTTCGAAACAACGCGTTGAACATGCAGTTTTTCTCTACCTAGAGCTTCGAAAGCCGATACTTCCTTCTTCAAACCCCATTCCTAATGATATCACAGGGCAGAGCTTTATTTTCTCAGTATGGTCATGACCAGGGAACGGATTTTATGGAAATTGCCTTTTTTTCTGCTAAAGAGATAGAGTATATTCGATTAAGAATGTCCACGATTTAGCTTTCCCTGATTCCATATATACACATTTGAAGTTGCCTTTTTTTGCCTTTTTTAAGATATTTGCCTTTTTT